ATACATCAGCTGTTTTTATCACCTAATTTCTTTCAAATGTAATGTGATTAAATCCTAGGGTTTTTTTAAAATCTAACACCTTGAAACTCCAGCCCGGTACTTAGGAATTATTTATAAACAGCGTCATAAAAGAGTGCTCGGGTGCCAACACTAATCAACTTCTTCAAACCACTTCAAAGAAAATCAAAAAACCTTTCCATCCACAGATCCTTTTGAGGTTTAACTAGGAGCATGATTTAAAATTCACAAGAAAGCCCTTAGGTATTGAAGCTTTAATACACAGCTTTCTTGGACAAACGTTTGATAAAAAACGAAACATACCATTATATACACCATCTCATGCTTTAATATTGCCCAGGGCTACTGTAAATGCTCACTTTGTACTAAATCTGGTTTTCTCTCTGCTTAGTGGCTGGCAGCAGATGGGGCAGTGTAATTCACTGATTTACTCATTTGCACACTTGTAAGACTCCTCTAAAGCTTTCTCCCCAAACATATGACACAAGGGCACAACCAGGACACGATGTCACGTTTAACCCCCTCCAATCAACAAAGAGTAAGTGTTTAATACCAGAGATCTGAAGCAGAAGCCAAAGGAAGTCAGGACATTCCAGAAAATGCCTTTGTCTTCAGTAACAAATCATATTTCATTCTGTGTTTAGTCCTGATGAGATGTTACAGGATTTACTCTTCCTAGTAAAGTAACTTTTAACATTCAACAGCGATTTTATCAACAACAAAATGAATCCTGGAATAATGCAAAATAACAGCTGGACTCAGTGACTTCCATTTAAATCCAAAAGATTTTATTATTAATATTAATGCAAAGAAATTTGTTCAACTTGTGAGAGAAGTCCTTTGTCAAACAGAAGCACATGGTACATGCTGAACATTCTTGCAGAATTTTTTAACATTCCTTCAGAAGTTTGGCTGTAAAGGAAGAACTCACAGAAATGCCTCTTGGATCCTGAAAGCTCTTTTTCATTAGCACAAACCAAGACACCGTGTAGAAAACTTGCACCTCTGAATGTGAAAGAATTACCAGCCTTTATGTGGCCCTTTAAGGTTTTTAGAAGGAACACATAAAAGAACAATAGTGCAGAGCCCTGAGCACAAGCACTTTGCCACACATTTGACCTACGGGGTTTTCAAGGCAGATGTAAGCCATAATCATAATTAGGCTTGTTTATATTTTTAAAAGTACTTTAGATCCTATTATTAATTAAAAAGGTTTTCTAACTTCACACCTGGGATAGATGCAATGCCTCTTTTCCACACATCTCTGTTTGAAATTTTCTCTAGGGCTAAAACTGTCTGGCAAGGCAAGATCATGAAAATTCATCACTCTCCTGATGGCTCTAATAAGGTTTTTTTTCCTTCTAAATAGTCAGCACCTTCCACCATGATCAAAAAGTAAAAGCAACTCTGCTACACATTTCCGTTACATTATTTTCCATATAATTTATTCTTAAAACAACATTTAGGCTTTAATTTTAATTGGAGTTCCTCCCCTTCCTTAGTAGGTTTTTCCAGCCCAAAAGCAGACAGCATTTTCCCTTTGACAAACAGCTGCTGTAGTTCTATCTTTAGCCTCTAAGTAGTGAAGTCCTGAAATGGAAACCTGCCTAATTCTGTTTGAATAATACTGAGGGGCTTAGGGACAAATGTAAGCTCAATGTGGAGAAATTTTAGCAGCATTCTATCAAACTGCATGAAATTCTTCCACATATTTTCCATGGGTCTCTAAACTAGATTGATTCCTCATGCTGCTGCATCAGAAAAGGCTGGGAACAATTGGCTGGATTTGGTTTCTTTTTTTTTTTAATGTATTTAGCAGCATTTCAATCAACACCCACCTGATCAGCACCACTAAGAGCTCACAGCACCTCCAGTGATCACAATTTCATTGATGCTGCAGCAGAACTTTCATAATGGTTTTACTCTGGTTTTAAAGAAACATCAAAGCCACATGACACCAGCTCTCCCTGACAGCTCATGCAGAACAAAAATTAGAGTTCACTTGTGCATATCCAAATATAATCTGCCTAAGGGTGAACAGTTTGTAAATCAAATAATTTGATTGAGGGTACAAGCTTTTTATTGTGCAGAATACAGACTTCCTATTCACTTTAGCAGGGTTTGTTACACACAGGAGCAGACACACTCACTGTTCCTTCAGCTGAGATGCCACTGAGCACTGGAACTCATTAACAGCAGCCAGTAACGAACTAATCAAAACACAGGGAATCTGCCAGCCCAGGTAGAATAGGAAACCAAATTTACACCTGACAAAAGGAGTAATTAGCGAGCTTAAAGACAACAGGAAATATCAGATGGGGCACAGAAGGCATTAATAATTGATACACCAGAACTCTTTGTTATTCCCTTAGAGGGTTTCATTGTTATAACTGTTAAAGTGCATTTTTTATTAGATTACCCACTAAAAAAAAAAGAAACTGAAAGCATCTTGCCTATAACTATTCCAAAATGCTCACCAGTCTTGTTTGTTCCCCCCTCCTCAGTCTGAAAAGTTTTATCCATCACCTGCCAAGCGCAGCAGTTTCCAGCAGCTGTTTACAAATAAGGGATTGAAGTATTTATGGTGTCTCAATTTTCACTCACCATCATCGTTGTTTTGCTTTAAATGGTTTATCATGAACTCAATGGGATCATCTGGCTTATGAATTAATAGCTCTTCAAGCATGTTCTGAAAATAAATAGGACAAAGTCAGAGGAGAATTTAACAGCTCTGCAGTCATGGTATCCTGCATTTTTACAGCACTGTTACAATGAGGATCTTAAACAGCTTATAAATGCTTATTTATTTTCTTTCACAGGCAAAATTGAGACTCCAGAGCCTGTTTTAGATGCTGAAAAAATGAAGATGGTCAAAAAATTGCCAGTAAAAAAAAAAAATCCCAACCTGTTTGCTTTGGCTTATTTGTGGTACATATGGACACCAGGAAGGTTTGACTCGAGCAGTTTGGGGTTGACAGTGGCTGAGTCAGAGTTGACATAAAAACCATACAAGGAGTGGCAACTTTCCACTGATTTCAGGGAGGATTGTGGCTTTCCAGGCAGAGAAAGGACTAACCCTGAGAATACCAACCCCACAGATTTCCCAGTAAGACATTTCAGCACAGCCATGAACTCTGTAACTAAAACTAAACATCAAACAGAACTAATATTCTGACTCAGATAAGCTGCAGAAATGCTCACACTGGAATAGACATCGAGTTCTAAAAAGCAGCCATAACACTTTAATATTTGGAAGTAAATTCCATAAAGTCTGTATATTCCATGAAGTTTTATATCCTCACCAATTGATTGTCTTTTATTGGAGTGGCCTATTTTCCTTTTCTACTTCATCCACTTCACTGGAATAATTAAACCACTCAATTTTTTTTATAAACTGTTTCACTTGCAAGTTCTGATGCTTCAAGGTCTGAGTAGCAAAGAGCACAAACCATAAAAATTATATTTTTATTGGAAGTTCATTTAAAATTATTACTTCCTAGCAACCCTTATTTAAACATAAGTTTGGATTTGGCACTGCACTTATCAGCAGCTTTAAAAATAACAAACCTGAGCAAATCTGGGCTTATTACTATTCAAAAAAGTTCAGGCTGACAGTGACTGACACTGTTACTGTTTCTTGCCCAAATCCTACCTTCAAATCCTTCATTTTATTCAATTCTGCTAAACTCAGTTTAATTTCACATGAGTAGTTCTGTGAATCTCTAAAGGGAGGTTCGTGTTTTGGGTCCCACGTTTTAGCTTTCACATTTTGTGTTTTGTAAATGTTTAAAGTTTGGGACAACAATTTGGAGCTGTGTTTGTTTGTGTCACTAAGTTGCCACAACACAACTGAAGTAGGAAAAGAAAACAAGACTCTGAGTCAGTCCCATAAACATTTTATGTACAGTGAGGTCCTGAAGCTGCAAAACACAGTATTTCCATTAAAAAGCCCCACAAATATTATGCTACACTGGCCATACTAAATAGCTTTAGTTACTTGAAAAAAAAAATAAGAGGATAAAAAAAGATGAGGCAAGAAAAATAAACATTTGTGTGTATTTCAGTGAGATCTGAACAAGTAAAAAGGACTTTCTAACAGAATTATGGGTTAGCAGCACACAGGGACAGCCTCTCTCTGTCAGAGACAGAACAACACCAGAATATTTAGTCCCTCGCACAAACCTCCACACGAAGGACACAAGGGCTTTCCCCAAACTTACAGAACAAAACACACCTTTTCCTAAGGCAGGGAAACCAAATTTGCTATTTACTGAAATCTCAGCGACGCTGGAAGTGCCGTTCTGTTGCTTTATCTGTGACACAAATCTCACGGAGCAGCCTCAGCAGGAGAGGGTTTTAGCGGGATGACGCTAATGAGGAGGTGGTGACTCTGACAAAGGCAAAACCGTCACCGCCGTTCTTCCTGCACTTAATTTGTTATTAATTTGTTATTGTCTCCCCCTCCTCTTCCTCCTCCTCCTCCTGCTGCCAAGCCCGCCTCGCCTTTCACAGACTCCTTTTTTCCCACTGGCTCCCACTTTTTTCTCCCCCAAAAAACGCCAGGTATGAACGGCAGCAACTGCCAATTAACATAATTAACGTAGAGAGCGCTCGGCCGCTTCCCGCACAGGGGGACACCCCCCCGTTGAGCTCCCACAGCAGCCGGCACTCGGCTCTCGCCGGTGCCCTCACCGCCCTCCCTGGGCCGTCCCCGTTCACCTACAGGATCTGGGAGAGCCCCCGCACCGTCCCCGCTCACCTGCAGGATCTGGAAGAGCCCCTGCTCCTCCGCGTAGGTGCCCACGGGCGGCGGCCACAGCTGGGCCGGGTCCTCCATGGCCGCCTCCGCCATGGCCGCCCCTGGCAACGAGACGCGTTGCTAGGGATGACGTCATCACTGCGCGACGGGGCGCGCGGCCGCCGACTCGTTAACCGCAAAGGGAATGGTAAGAGACGTCATCGAGCGGCGACGGTTGCCAGGGAGACGGCGTCGCGGTTGCCGTGGCAACGGCGGGGCGGAGGGCCCGCGGTCACCGCTGTCACCCCGGCCAGTCCCCACATCCTGGCCCCCCCCGGGGAGCTGCCGCACCGCCCCCGCCCGCACACCGGCCGGTAGGAGCCGCAGGGCTCGCTGGGCGGCCGCGGAGCGGAGGGAAGGGGCCGCGGGGTGTCCGGCGGGCGGGGCTGCGGGCGAGGCCCCCACCGGAGCTTCAGATCCTTCCCCACGGCCACAATCAGGAGGGGCAGGTTAAGCACGGCCCCCGCGGCCGGCCCCGGTTAGCGGGGGAGGTTTGGAGCCGCTCGGGCGGTGGTTTCAGGGCGGTAAGAGGAGCCCCGGCTCTCCCCGCGGTGATGCATCGCCGCGTTGTCTTTACAACAGACCCACTCGGGTTTATGGCAGCCCAGTGTCAGTGCTCCCCTCTGGGCTCTCCGCCTCTCTCTGCAGCATCATTACTCACTGCCTTACTGCCTGGGGCTCTGGGGCTGCACAGTTTTCACACAATATATCTTCTCTTTTTGCTTATTTTTACTTTTTTTTTCCCCGAAGTTTTCCCCCGACCTACACGATTCCAGCTCAGGTGAGGGAGTAACATACATAGAATCACATCATTTCTAAAAAGCAGCTTCCTTTCTCTCCTTCTCTCCTCAAATCCAGAAATAACTAAACATGAATGAGGTAGTGGAGACTCTAAGAAACATAGAGCAGAACTACAAGATCTTCCAGCAGCAGCAGTTTACATTTACCAGAGCATTGGATCACACCCGAGAGGAGGCCCATGACTTGATCAGACCTGTGGCCAGCATCGTGCAGGTACAAAGTATCCAGCACAAAATACTCAGCTCCCGACAACAGGGACAACACAGTGTCAGGTCAGGGATGAATAAATGTTTTTACCAAGGGAAAATGGGCAAAAACTCCCTGGTAATGTTTGTTATAACTCTGCAAACCAGTGGCAAAATCTGGGGAGAGAAATACGGATTTTATTAACACAGAAGGAATCTTATTCCTGAGCATCACTTTTGATTTAGTTTAACACTAAATTAAACTGGTTTAGTTTAACACTGTCATTTTGCTGCTGAGGCACAGCCAGAAATACAGGGCACAAGAAAACAATCAAACCAACCCTCCTTCCCCAGCCACTCATGGAATCTGTAATCCTTAACTTGGAGGAACCAGCAGGCTTGGCTCTTCCCCCCGGTATTGGTGCTGCTGTATCTTTCTATAGTGCTTATTAAAAATAATGGCTGTGTTACAGAGGGAGGATGATGGATTGAGGGCTGAGAGTCCCAAGTGGGCACAGGGTTTTTCTGGGCTAGTAAGTGAATTGTCTTGGAATTTTTATAACACGGGATGTTTTAAGTAGAGCTTAGACCACCTGGAGATGGAGGGGGGGAAGTGGGTGAAGAAAAATCTGAATAAAATCAGAATTGTGGATTTGAGGCAGCAGAACCCAGGCACAAAACCCAGGTGGATGCCAAAGGCAGAGTGAAGGCCAGGCTGTTATTAGGATTAGGACATAGAAGGAGCTGGCTGTGTTTTCTAAGGGCTGACTCTCTCTAATATAAGGGCTTTGCTCATTGCATTGAAGAGGATTGGGACAGACATTAAACTGAGCTATTTTTTTCCCCCAAAAATAGGCATTGAGATGTATAACATTATAAAAATGGCAATATTCCAGTGGTACTGAGCAAAGCCTGGACCCCACTTCTTGGCAAAGGTGGAAGGGCTGCTTGTGGTGGAGGGTGAAACCTCTGGGTGTGACCTCAGAATTAGAGGGATCCACAGCATCCTCTGTGACACAGCAACATGGGAACTGCAGCCCTGGGGGTCCAGCCACCTCATCCCAGGGGGAGGATGGGAAAGGGAAAAGAGTAAATTACCAGGAAAACCAGGGAGCAATTGGTGCAGCATGTATTTGAGCAGCAACTGAACTGCTACCAAAAAACTCCCCTGGTGACAAAAGCAGGCACCCATTTTACCCACTGCCATTCTCCCTGTTTTTAATTTGTCATAGGAGGGCACAAGAATAAAAGCAACAAACACAGAAATATGTGTGGTCTCAGCCTACAGCTGACTTGACTGCCAGCTTTCTTTGCATGGAAACTACAGGAAAAATGAGATTCCACTTGAACGTGGCTAAATTTCCACCCCCTCAAGCTTTTTGTGGCAGCATTTTTAGAATAGAGTGATGACATTCCTTAGAGAAAAGAGGAGAGCATAGGAAGGTGGAAAGGTGGAAGTGCACACCACAGTCACACAATAGCAACAGCTTCTTGAAGATTTCTACATGGAGTAGGGCACAAAGTCAAACCCCAAGTGGTTTTGTGGGACCAGCTCCTCAATTATTGCTTCAGCCAGAGCCTCAAACCCCCCAGGGAGTCCCTGCCTGCAGAGCCTGGCTGTGGTCAGGACCTTGCAAGTGGTTCCTGTAGTCCTGTCCCTGTCCTGGTCACTCAGGTGCATTAACTCCCTGTTGTTGATATGGCCAACAATTCCTCTTATCCCATCTGTGAACATCCAGGCTAAAATGATACTCTCATTAGGACTATTTCTGCTCACAGCAGCAGTAAAAACTCCTGCCACTCACAAGGACACAACACTCAGCAAACAGTGTGGAAGGAGGAATCTGTGCTGGAAATGGACCCTCAGGAGCAATTTTTTATTTTCCTTACAAACCTGCTGAGAATTTGGCCAAGCACATTCCATGGCTTTTCTGTATGCAGCAGCTGTACCCACGTTGGACAGCTACATCCTTCTTGGAATCTTACAGAAAGCACTGGAGGTGCTGGAGTCCAGCTCTGGCTGCCAACCAGCCATTCAGAATTTTACATTCTGAAGTGCCTGTAATTTCTTTGGAGAAGATATTTAATCCCTTGGCATAACCTTTCCTCGTGCAATGCCCCTCGCTCTGAATGACTCAACTGCTCAAGGCAAGCAGGGAATAGCATTTCTGTAACAGGTTGGGGAGGGTGGTTTCGGTTAAATGGGTTGGGTTTGCAGTTCATGGTGCCACAGAGAGAACCATGAAGAATGAATGATGCAAACACATCACTCCAAACCAGAACCAGTTTGGTCGCTGCCCTCACTTCCCACCCTGCTCTGCCCAAGCAGAGGGAGCAGATAGATCCCACTCACATTCAGCCTGTTCCTCTGGTGCTGGGTTTGGCTGTGGTACTCCTACACTTCTCCCAGAAGTGAGGAAGACTCACAAACAGCTCCCTCACCCCAGCCTTCCTCAGTCACCAGGAATGACAAGCAAACATCCCACAGTGCCTCACACCTGCAGAGCCACAAGAGAAAACAGCTCCTCACCTGAGCAACTTTGCAGCAGAAGTTAGATTGCACCGAGCAATGTAACATCTAATTTACCTCTGTTTCCCCCCATGGACAGGTGCAGGTCCTCAAGGACCACCACTGCATCAGTGCCACCGACAGGCGCATCCTCAACATGTTCATCTGCATCTGCAACGACCTCCGCAACCTCTGCCAGAAGCTGGAAACGGTGCATCCCGGGGACCAGGTGACCAACGGCCTGTTGGAGAGGTGCAAAGTGCTCCTGAACGACAGCAATGACCTCAGTGCCATCAGAGCCACGTAGGTGTTTCCTTCAGCTCAGCCTCTGGGAGTCCACTCTTGGTGCTGGGAGACTGGCACTGAACATTCCCACTGGACTTCCCCACCAGTTCTGCCACAACACCTTCCCAGCTTTGGTGAGGGTACAAGGTGCTCCCCAGGTTGCTGTTGGGAAACCATTGCCAGACTCCAGTCACAAAAAGGGAGTTGGGTGTGTTTATTCATCATTTTTACTGGTGCATGGCTGGGCATTTACAGGCCCTGAAGTCCCATGCGAGGTCATGACCTTGCAAGTTGTCCCTCTAGTCCTGATCCCTGTCCTGGTTACTCAGGTGCATTAACCTCCTCCCTCCTCCTATTCCTCTCCTCCACAGGGCTAATTTCTCTGGGGCAAGTGTCTGTACATTCTCTCAATGCCTTCCAGATGCATCCCAGCAGGCAGGGTGGTGTGTTTGGCAGGACTCATTCCTCAACATGCAGTTCCACCCATGCCTTTCTGGTTTTGGGAAATGGCTGGCTGTGCAATCCTGCTCTTCCCAGGAGGATCTCGGGGGGGGCCTGTGGGCTCCCAGGGTTGCACTGCTGGGTTCCTCTGCCAATTGTTTCCTTCTGTCCCACAGATACCCCCACGGTGTTGTGAATTACCTGAGCTTTGAAGAAGCAAGGCATACTTATGGAGGTGTGGTGAGCCTCATCCCCATCGTTATAGACCACCTGAAGGAGTGGGTAACCTACACTAAAAGGCACCTGCTGCATCAAGTGAGTCAGGGACGTGGCATCTCCAAGAAGGAGGCACCCACTTCCCAAAAACCATCTTCTGGGCGCTTTGCAGCTCACACCTCCGTTAGTAACAAAAATACTGTGCAATTGCAGGAAAAGGATTTCCAGAAGTTCCTGCTTGAAAATCAACGTCCGAAACAAAAAGCTCCCTGGAGGCCACCGGGCAAACACCCCTATTGAAGGATCACACCTTCTGCTTGCCACCTTTAATCAGCTGGCTGATTAAAGACAGTGAAATGCATACTAGAGATCTGCCCTGAGTCCACTTCCTGAAGAGCTGCCCTGCCAGCCAGCCTGGGACAGACACACACTCTTCTCCCTTGCTGATATTTCCAGTCAAAGTCATATCCTGACAGAAGTAGCTGTAGCTACACCTGGTCCCTGGGACCAGCACTGCAGTGGGAGCAGGGAATAGTCAAGAGTCATCAGGTTGTAATCCCTCAGACATGAATCTTGGACAAGCTACCTGAAATGGGATTTTACACTTTCTGAGGAACATCCCCTCACTCGCCACAGCCAGCGGGGTGAAGAACCTGAGTGTCTGAAGGACATGACCCAGAGCAGCAAAGGCCTGTTATTATGGATTCAGACATGTCTTTGAGATTTAGACTTGTCCCAAAAATTCCCTCACCCTCACTGAAATTGTTTGGCTTTCTGGACCACAGGATCCATGTGTACAGGACACTGGTGTGTCTCCTGTACGTGCCACTGGCCACAGAGGTCAGAGTGCTCCGGCTGTGCTCTGCTGCACCTTTCCTGCAGGTTCTACACCACAGAACATCTCCCCTTGACCTGTTTGACTCCTTTGCTATCAAAACCAGAGATGCAAAGGAGAGCAGAGTTCAGTTTGCCCCTAGTTTGTGTGTACTGACACAAAACACCCCTGTGCTCCTCAGGCCTCTGCAAAACTGAAAGTCATTTCCAGGCCAAGTGATTTGTGGGAATCTGGTGGGAACAGAGAGGGTGAAAGCTGTGGTTCAGATGGTTCCTTTTCAAATAGCAAGTTAAACTGTCTGTGCTTTCCCTTTTTCAAGATGAGAATCCAGCTTGTCTGGCTCTCAAGGATGTCAGGAGGCTCAGTTCATTAAAACATATGAAATATGTTTTCATACCAGCTTTCAGAGCAGCCCTTGGCAACTCCAGCACAGTTTATCCCAGTGCTGGAAGCATCTCTCATTCCAGCCTGCTCTGGGAGGGTCAGCAGAGCCCCATTCTCTGGAGCTGACAGAGGTTTTTGGGGTGCTTTTAATCAAGCACTGTTAACTACAAACTGAAGATCTCAGTGATGCAGTGCCTGCCCTGTATCTCACTGCTCTTTTCCCCCTCCCACAGGCAAATCACCTCCTGCTCTTTGCTTCCTGTTGGAAGACACTCCTGAATAAACAATTTCCCTTTGCATACCTGGCTCAGTTTGCTAAAATTATGAGAAAGCTTCTGCCTTAAGATGACCAGTCTCTGGCAACAAGCAGCTAAAAAAGGAGAATACAGAGGAGGGAGCACAGGGAGGAATGAGAGCTCAAGTGAAATGGGAAGTATTTTCAGCAGCATTTTTATTCCTCACATAACCCCACTTTCTTTTGCACTTTTTTCCTATCCCTATCCACTGGTACTGCAGTGCACCCATCCCCTCTGGAGCAGAAGCCTATTTTTAGGGAGACATGATCCAAGTGAACTGACCCTTGGTGGATTCAAAATGGTAACGAAGGGTCACAAAGAGACTCCCGGGCACTCCTGGGGCCACGACCAGTGGAACGTCACCGTCACCCTCTCCGGCTGCACTTGAGAGCCCTGGTGCTGAGGCAGCTTCAGGCTGAAAAATCCCAGTTGCTGGCAGCTGCCCTGTTGTGTTTCATGTTGCAGACAAGTGTCCAATGACAGTTGCTGCCTTGGAAAGTTTTTCAGAACAAGCCCAGGCTATGTGGCCTGAACGCTGACAAGTGTCAGGGACACGAGAGACGCTGCTCCCAGATCTTGTTTCCAACCTTCCTGGCTCTGTCCTATAGTTTAAATTTGAACACACACAGGCTCTGATGAGACCAAAATTATCCTCCAGTTTGTAGGTCACTTTGAGCTTCCCTGGATGAGCACAGTACAAATGACTGAGCAGAGCTGTCCTACCAAACCCAGCCCACCACCGCTGCTCAAACCCCAGTGCAGTTGTCATTTTGCACTTGACCAAAGTGATACACAAAAGAAACAGTTCCCAAATCTTAATAACAAGATTCGTACACACATAATAAGGTGATGCACAAAAGAAACAGTTCCCAAATCTTCATGATAAGATTCATACGCACATAAGGTGATACACACATGAAACAGCTCCCAAATCTTAATAATAATTTCTAGCCTGGCCTTATCCTTTCAGTCAGTGTCACACAGCCAAAATTTTAAGACCCAAGCAGAAAAATGAGTGCATAAAACTTGCAGTCTGAGGTTTGATAATGACAAGACCAGAATCTGTTGGAAGACTGCAAAGTTAAGTCTCACAAAAACATCTAGACAAATTACTTAATTTCCATACAAGTTTTCCTCTTCCAGAGCGGATGGACACTTGAAAAGACAAAAAGATACAGCAAGAATTGTTTTTCTCTACTACAAATCAAGCTGTTTGAAGAATTTACATAAACAGGATGTAAATGCCAAACACAAAAGTGCAATAAAGTTTTACTTTAGCCTCTGTGAGCATAAAATTGCAAGATACACACTGAGAAACCAGGCAGGGCACCAGACTGACTTTCCTACAGATCTGTCGGTTAGTCCAAGAAATAAATGCTGCTTTTGTGTTCAAAGACTGAAATAGAGATATGGGCTGGTAATAGATGATCTCAACAGAATCCTGGCATCTGTAGGCTATGAATTACCTCTGTGCTCCCCTTGATTCAGCTAGGGGTCAAACCAGGCTTTTGTCTACCTGAGCAACCTGGTTTAGTGGGAGGTGTCCCTGCTCCCTGCAGGGGGGTTGGACTAGATGGCCCTTAAAGGTCCCTTCCAGCCCAAACCATCCTGTGATAAAATATTCCGAGTTAAATATCTGGTCCCAGTGTCTCACGCGTTGAGGGGACGGGGTAGAGCTCAGACCCCGAGAAGCTCAGATCAAGTGTTGGGAATGGTGGTGGGCTCTTGAGGGAAGGAGAAAGGGGCGATGCAAGGGAGAGGAAGCAGCATCCCAGCGATGTCACTGGAGCCGATGCAGGATGAAGGGATGGGCTTGGCAGGGCCTCTAGCGGCCGCCTCACATCACTGTCTGATTTCTGAACAGTTCCAACAATCCTGTCTCCCCAGTCCTGAATCCACGAGGGCTTCTTAACACTGGCTGCAGGGATGCAGCCCTTGGATGCAGCATTCCCGGGAATTGTCTCCCCAGGGCACTGCGGGGCCACTGCTCCCGTCACAAGGAGCTGTAATTTCAGAAGAGCCATCGGCTGTTCCCTGTCACCGGCACCCTGCTCTGTCAGCTCACACGTCATAAACACCCCGCAGGCAGCAGAGCTGTTCTCCTGGGAATTCTGAATTCCCTCGGTGCAGCACCAGCTCAGTCAGCTGAGCACCAAGCACAGGAGGCTTCGGAGAAACCAGGAATAGCGTCTGGCAGACGGCAAAGAGCAGAGTCCAAAACTGGAGGGAGCACTTGGAGGGAAGAGGCCTTCAGGAAAAAAGGGTTTAGCCAAGTAAAGCTCACAGACACCAAAATCACGACAACCATCAGTCAAAATTGTTTCAAATAAAGTCTTGTCTGGAAAGTAAAGCCCATGTGAACGCTCTCTCAGCTTCATTTGCAAAGCTCCTGTGTATGAACAAAGTAACTCAGCTCCTGTGATTTCACAAACTGTTTCATAACCACTTTTAAAATCCACCATTGTGCCAGCAGCTAAAGTGGTTCCTATAAATCAGGATCAATCAGCAAAGACAATTTAACTTCCTGAATCTGAAGTATTTCCTTCCCTAATGTCTCCTGTGTGTTTATTAGCAATGCTATAAACTACTCAAGGTACTACTTGGCATTAGTGAGGCAGGTACTTTATTCTTCTCTTTTTGTACCCTACTCAATATACTCCTGTGGGTAATTTTAATATTTTCCTTTTTTTTTTTTTTTACATTGGCAAATGCAGCTTTGCAATGCCAGCCTTATTAAGGGATACACAAAATGGACTTAAGTAAGGTTAAGAGCAAGTCAAATTCACTTTGTGCTTTTTCATTTCACTTACCCCACGCTGTAGAACTCATCCCAGTGCTGGGGGCATAAAATAACCTTCTGTATCATTTAACTCCAAGTTAATGGTTATGGTAACTTCTATATAAATTCTCCACATGCTCTGTTACTAAAGTGTTTCCACATATTTAAGAATTATTCTCAGTCCTTAACTGGAATGCTGAGGTTCATGCATGGATTTCTAAATTGCTTCGAGCAACCTTTTAAATATTCATTTATTTCAAGAAAAAAAAGCCAACAACCAACCCACACATAAAAACCCCCCAAACCACTGAGAAAGGTGCCAGTCTGAAAAAAAGAAAACAAAACAAGAAAACAACCTTAACCTACCAGAAAAATGGACCCAAAATTCCCCTTGGTCTGCAGAAGTGTCTTCCTGTGTGCACCGTGGCTCCTGAGCAGGGAAAAGCACAGCCAGGGACAGAGCCAGCTTCCAACAGCAGCCCCAGCTTTGCAAACAAGGCTTTGACATTTTCAGCTATTAATTTCTCTAATCACTGTGCATTCTCTGGCCTGCAGGAAAGCAGAAAGCTCCCAGGCAGATCTGCAGCACTGAACTGTCTGCACTTAATTTATGGATTAGACTGGCACGTTGTCGGTGAGTTTGTTTGCCACAGAATTAAAAAGGCTTTGGCTCCATGCAGAAAAATGAGCTTCTAATGATGAATCCTGTGCAAAGGAGCAGCAGCACTGACCTGCTCTGGACTGTCACAACTGGGAAGATGTCTGGACACTGAACTCATTTCTGCATGTTTTGGTCCCAGAAAGGTCGGCTTGCAGGGAATTTAACACAGAGTAGTGCAAAACAATACATTTTATTTGTTCACAGTTAAACACAAGCAACTGCCTTGACATTTTAGAACATTCTAATAAGGACAGCAAAACCTCCTTTTGGTTTAAGTTCTCTTTAGCTTACGATTGTACCATTTCCTCGTTTTTCATATTTATGGCATTTAATGTGGATTGTTTAACATGCTTACAAAGAGCGAGGCAGGGAACAGATTAACTTGACAAAGACAGCAATTTTAGATTTAACTAAAAGCAGTCAGTTAAAAAAATCTGTTTCCACTTCACTGATGGGACCCCTTCAAACAAACTGCAAGTTAACTACATACAGCAGATCCACGATTTTTAGACTTACAAAAAAAAAAAAAAAAAGAAATAATTGCAAAATTTTGTTCCTCCATAATCTTTGTGGTCCATAAACAAACCGAAAGTGGTTTCCATTACTATCCTGGTGCTAAAATCCTGTTTAAAAGAAGAATAAAGCCACCTTATCAATGAGCTTGAGTCACTGCCAGGGCGTTTTTGTAACCGACACAAAACCCACCTCTCCTCGGAACGCCGGATACACCCCCGGGCTGGGCAGGGCAGGATGGGGAATGAGCTTGTCCAGCATCCCAGCCCATCAGGGCAATGTGCAAACCGTTCCCTCCTGGGGCTGGGATCCGGTGGGGAAAGGGGCAGGAAACCTCCAAGTCTTCCCGAAACACACGCTACCACGTTTGCTACCACTAAGTCTGAGAAAGGCTAAAGACATGTCGACAAAACCAGTCTGTCACTTACAACCAACTCTCTACTCTCTATTCCATGCAGAGTCAAGCTTGGACACAACCACTGAAGTTCAACCTCTACTCTCAGGGCTCCGACTGACCAACCCAAAGGACACGGAAAAATAATTTAAGACAGGCAGAAATGTATTTAGACCCTGGGTGTTACGGAAGAAGCGGAAAATGGGGGGGAAAGTCCTGTCAGGAGCAAGCCAGCACAGCGCCAGCTGCTTTGACAGCCTCGTTCCTATCAGGGTTAAGAAGGGATTTGAACTACAAATGCAAGTGTTCTTGGACTTGATTTCTATGTGAGGCAATTCTTGAACAGCAGCTGCCACCCACAGACTGTTTCAGAGGAGAGGCCACGTGTGAGGGTGATGGTGAAGCCTGATGTGTCCGAGCACACCCAGCCCCAGACACATCCAACATTTAGGACAAGCACTCTGCCTTCCTAACAGCAGGCTCTGCTCTGTCACGAAGGAGATTTGAGTCTGACCACTGACAAGCCCTGATCCCAAAATCCTCCTTCACAGAAGGCTCATCATTGACTTGATTAACACCGAAAGGCTTCACACCAGGATTCTGATTCCCAGTTTGAACAGGATTCCTCCTCAGCCTTGCCTTCTAAGGAAGCAGGA